CACACACACACACACACACACACACACACACACAAACACAGCCAAAACCCAAACTCCCTTAGGTGAAGACGAATTTGTTGAAATTATTTGCTAGTTATTAATACCAACAGTTACTAAAAGTCCTTCAACCAGTTTTTAAATGATAAATCATAATCAAAAGTCTAAATGTAGTAGCTCAATATGTACTCAACGTTTATATTGATTAATTATAATGATAAATTAATCCTTTTAAAGATTTGCTGAAAGGGAGTGCGTTCGTTACTGTGAAATCATATTATCAGTGTGTTCCATTTTGTTAACTAGACAGAGCTCTAAAGGGGTGTGTGTGTGTGTGTGTGTAGGGGGGGGGGGTCGCTTGCTTTTCATAACGTGTGTTATCTTGTTGGGGGGGAAAAGTGCTTTCTTGGAATCATTCGATTACACAGGGCTTTGATCAGGTATCAACAATAATCATTCTCAACACTTTTCATCATAAACCCGAGATGGAATGTAAAGTTGTGAATACGCAACCAGGTGGCTCTCCCAACTCACATCAGTAAAAGACGTCGAGAGCGGTATTGTGGGCCTGTATAATACATTATACAACTTCATAAGCAAGACTCTGGCCATTATGTTGCAGAGATGTTGATAAAATGCACACTCACCATTTCTGCAAGCGAAAGTTTCGTGGATCCACCCTGGTGCTGCTTCAGGTTCTTTGCCACTGTTTATGCTTGTTAAAATGCAGACACCTCTCAATGAAAGGAAGTTTATGCCTTCACACTGGACATTCTCCTGACACTGTCTCCGACAGTTAGAAATAGTCCACACGTCATTCAGTATCTCGATATTTGTTCCTGATACAGTATCCGCCTGTTCCGTCCATTGTACTGCTTGGCCTTCGCATCGATCTGGAAAAGATAATTTTTTATGTCTTTTTTATTTCAACACACGGGCGCATCTTCATTTAAATATTTCTTTCAACGTGGCAAAAGACTTCCTAGATTCAAAGACACAATTGCAAAAATTAGAAACGGCATTTGAAAGTTCTTACACAAGATTTTGTGTCTCATTTCTCTCCGCTGATTTAATTTCTTTTTGTTTTTCTCCCTTCGTAGAACTATATTCTTCTATTTCACCAATTCCAGAATAATCTATAACTCGCCCCTATGCCTACCTACCCTCTTTGAATCAGAGAAAAATTTCCAATGCCTTGTCCTGGGATTTAAAAACCGCAATTTTATCAGACTACCATAACGTAAAAGCGTATTTGCCAATTTGATAAGATAGCAGCTTGAATATTGTCCTGGTTTTATCAAACAACACCAACCTCAAAGTAAACGCATACGATAGTTATTGCTAAAATCAGGCAATAGCTGTGTAATGTATTAAAATTTACCATTCTTGCAAACCCATTCGTCATGCGTAAAGCCATTCACAGGAAGCATGTAATCGCTAGCTGATTTTCTCGTAGTCTTGGACATATGGCAGTCTTGCCTCTTACTGTCGTACTCTACAGACTGGCACGGAAGCTGTACATTCTCCAGACAAAGATTCCTGCATTCCTGGACGGAGCTCACATTGCTTACTGTCTCGTCGTTATGGAAGACTAAAGCTGTATCTGTCGGAATTCCGGATTCCCACTCAGGCTCTGATCCTGGACATGGATCTGTTGTAAAGTATCAAAGAGAAGGATAACGTATATATTTTTATAACAGGTATCATACACACTTGGGGAGAAACAATAAGACCATCCCCACATCACCGCCACTACCATTACCACCACCACTGCCATCACCACCACCACATCCAACAGCAACAACAGAACAAAAAATGAAAACTTCTGATTAAAAAGAGTGACGTTTACCTTTCAATTTAATTCAAATCTGCTCTTTCGCAAAAGAAAAACATACAAATAAACAAAAACAAAAAATACTCACTTAGTTTCATAGACCACTGCAATGGATTGTTTGTGGCGTTGCAGAGTAACGTATTATTCTGAGCATTCTGTTCCAGGTCATCATAGCAAACGTCGTTGATGAAACACTTGTTTGACTGAAAGAGACCAGTCAGAAACAGTACTCGAGTTAGGAGAGTAAATGAGATTTGAAAGTCGATTTTTAGACATTAGTTTAGAAATACAAAGATATTGAAAACAATCAGACGATATATTTCAAACAGGTTCATTCTCTGCAATCTGCACACAATGACATGTTCACACCGGCGCCAGTGAAAACGTTCTGTTTTGTTTCTCAAGTAGATCTAGCAGTTATTTCAGAACAAACGTTGCCTATTCTGCTCATAAAGGATACTCTTTGCACGAAAATAAGCAAATTATGCAACAAAATTCACGTCACTGTCAATAGTTTTGAGGGTAATTTTGCATCATCTCAAAGATCTGTGTGACCCATTTTGAAATGTACACCATTTGATAATGGTACTTACTTTTTGCATGCAGGTGGTATTTTCTGTGCAGTCAAAGCAGGCAGGGTTTAAAGTAATGAAAGGGACCCCATTGCTCTTCAAGTCATTCCTATTGGCGACAAAGATAAGATAATTGCCTGCAGAGGGCAGATTGCACCGGACTTGATTGGAGCTGACAAAAGTTGTCTTGGATGCTTCGGTGATACCCATGACGGTTGTGAAATTGGAGGCTGTTACCTGTTTCAGACACAGAAAAGCGGTGGATGATGAACACATTTAATATTATTGAAACATTAGTTAAACATGGCACGAAAGACGCCGTTAGGTATGCATGCACGTATGATAATACTATATATGAGGCAGGGGAGATAGATAGACAGACATACAGACAGACAAACATACAGACATACAGACATACACACATATACACATACTTTACATTACGTTACATTACATAACATACCATACATACATAATACATACATACATACATACATACATACATACATACATACATACATACATACATACATACATACATACATACATACATACATACATACATACATACATACACAC